AACAGAAACTTAACTTCTCTTTAACACATTTTTCTTATTCTAAGTTTAGACATGTGATTACCTAAATTTTTAATTTTAAAATAAAGACTGTTGAGATATACTGCTCATGAGGTATAACTAAAACCTCTTCCAGTGTATCACTGGTGGGAATGCTCTTCGGGGGGGAGAGAGAAGAAAGAAGCTATTTAATTGCCATATTATGAATTCATAGAATTCAAGAAAATTTAGAATATCATCCTCACTCAGTAACCATAACTTTTATTTATGTGCTGAAATAAATTTTTGCATTTATGGTAAATAAAAGCTTTCACACATGCTAGGTTAAACAGAAAAACTTTATAGTAACACTTCGCTTTTATTTCCTTTCGAAGGAGTGACATTAAAAATGTATATAAGAATTCTGCAGTTTTCTTATCTTTTCAGCCAGGAGGGGAGTTTATGAAACATTAGTTGATCTAACATGATCAATATACAAATATTTCTGAGTTCAAATCTGGCCTCAGACCAAACACTTGACACTTACTAGCTGTGTGACCCTGGGCAAGTCACTTAACCCCAATTGCCTTATATACATATATATATATATATATATATATATATATATATATATATATATATATATATGTGTGTGTGTGTGTATATATATATGTATATATATATATGTACATATATATATGTGTATATATATATATGTACATATATATATATATATATGTATACACACACACACAAATATTTACATTTCACTTTTAATAAGTCGTAATCTTCAGCTATCTCTTCTACCCATGGATGGATGTTAAGACTTAAGAGCAAATAATTATAAATTCATTGGAAACAAACTAGATCACAGAACAGTGTAATTTTTCAAGTGGCTCAGGGAAAACTACCCCCTTGTCTAGATTATTTAGAATGATTCATTTCAACAAGCATTTGTTAACGATGGGAAGCAGACAAAAGTGCCTCCCAGGAACTTCCTTTTAATGCAGGTAGAGGGAAGTAAACACAAAGGATGTGTTCTGAAGTTGGAGCCCTATTAACTGGATACAGACTATAGAAATTAATACAAATCACATAGGCAGAATCACCAAACAGTCAGTGTTGGAAGGGCCATCCAGGCCACACTTGACATGAACGTAAAGCTGGTTGTGCAGAGGCTTGGTCAGTCAGCCTTGGCCTGAAGACTTCTCACAGCTACGTACCCGGGCAGCCTGGGTTTTCTGGACAGCTCTCATTGTTGGGAGGTTTTCTTTGACGTGCACTGACATCTGTGCCTGTCCCACTCATTCCTCCTCATTGTGTTCTCTGGGCCCACGTAGACCGAGTCAAATGCCTCTTCCACAGGACAGTCCTTCAGGTACCTCAAAAGAGGAGTCATTTCCCTCACTCTCCAAGGCTTTTCTTCCTCAAGCCAAACATCCCCAGCTCCTTCAAAAGGTCCTCATTCCGATCATGCCATGACAAAACTGAAAGAGCTCCTGCCTTCAGAAGCACAGGTTCTTCTGAAGGGTTTGTTCCATCGCATGGTCTTCACTTGTGCTTCTGTGTGGCTGTTCTTTCCATTTCCATGGTTGCCATCGTCGTGTATATTGTTTTCTTGGCTTTGCTTACTTCCCTCTGCATCTGAGGGTGGAGATATTTTAGTCACCTATTTGCATAATTCTGCATTGATTTCCAAAATGATTGTGCCAGTTCACCAACAGTGCATCCGTTTGCCTAGCTTACCCCAACCCCTCCAACATTGACTATTGTCATTTTTTGAGGTTTGAGATGAAAATCTCAGGATTGTTTTGATTTACATTTCTTTTATTATTCGTGATTTGGAGCATTCGTGTGGCTATGGATACTCTGCAATTCTTCTTTTGAGAACTGTTTGGTCATATCCTTTGACTCTTTCTCTTCAACCGTCTTTTAACCTCCCAGTCTGATGGCTTTCTCTCATTCCTCAGCCTTCTTTAATTCTCTGCAGATTGTGACACTAGTGAACATGCCCCCCCCCCCGATATTCTCCCCTGTGGTTTTTCAAAACAAATTCTTTTCGCTCTACATATTTGATGGCTTCTTCTCATTCTCCTTTGCTGACTCTCCTGCACCCCTCCTCCCCCGACTGGTTGGGTGTCCCTAAGGCTCTATCTTTGGTCCTTTTCTGTCTTCTTCCCACCCTCACTTGGGACCTTCCCAATTCAGTGACTTTCCATATCACCTAAGCAGATGATCCCCCCCAATCTATTTATTCAGCCCTAGTCTCTGTCCTGAACTCCAGTCTTGATTTCCATCTGCCTTTTTAATATTTCAAACTGGATGTCCCATAGGCATCTCAAACTCAGTCTGTCAAAAACAATCTCTAAAACCTTTCCCCTTTCCCACCTTTTCTGTTTAAGTTGAGGGTGCCACCATCTTTCCTGTCACCCATGTTGGCAGCCATGGTGCCACCCTTCACTCCTCATTCTCACTCCTCCCCCATAGCCATTGATCTGCCAGACCTTGTTTCCTCTTCCATGGCATCTCTCACTCAAACGTGTCCCTTTCTCCTCATTCAAACAACCAACCCACTCGTGAATTCAGGCCCTTGCCTCTTGTCTGGACTGTTCCAATCATTTCCTAACTGGTCTTACTGCCTTATATCTCTCCCTTCTCTAATGCATCCTCACACGGCTGCCAGAGTGCAGGTCTGACCACGTCACTCTCATTCAAGAAACTCCAATGGCTTCCTATATCTTCCAGAACAAAAGACAGGCTTTCTGTTTTAAAAATATTTTTATTTAGCTTTTAAAGCCTTCTCACAACCAAATCTACCTTTACCAAACCTTTTCTTATTATATGTTACTCCCCTTCTGTACTATACAGTCCAGCCAAAATGACCTTTTTGCTGTTCTTCACACTGTTGCACTGGCTGCCCTTTGGCCCCTCTTAGAATCCCTGTTTCCTTCAAAATTTCTTCTCACATGCTATGACCTACATGAAGCCTCTCCTGACCCCTTTACCTGCAGTCCCCTCCCTGGAAAAAAAGATCAGGTCTTCATTTTGTGTCTGTTTCCTTATGTTCACATCTCCTCCAGCAGAACATAATCTCCTTCAGAGAAGGCACAATTTCATTCTCATCTTTGTATTCCTAGCACCTAGCAGTGGCTGGCACATAGGCAGTTAATAAATGCTCATTGACTGGCATGGAGGGAGACTCAGAAACTAACCCTCGGGCAAAGGAAATCATTGGAAGTATGAGGGAAATTGGTAACATGAAGTCACAGGGTCTGGTGTACAGAGAAAAGACAAGACCTGTACAAGCACAGCCATAGGGAAGAGAGTAATCATTGATGTAAAAAACACAGCTATCCAACTTACACAGGACATGGTGCTGGACCAATCTGATGTAATATTATTGTACCATAAGAAACAGTGAATGTGTGGAGTTCAGAGAAATATGACAAGGCTTAAATCAGTTAATCAGTAAGGAAGCAGAACTCGGAAAAACTATTCACAAAAGCTCCCACAATAAACGTAATGGTTTGCTCCAGGTTCTCCTCCTACCTCTCTGACCATTCCTTCTCTGTCTCCTTTACTGGATCCTCATCCAGGTCATGCCCTCTAATCCTAAGTGTGCCTCAGGGCTCTGTCCTGGGCCTTCTCTTCTCCCTCTATCCTTCTTCACTTGGTGATCTCATCACCTCCCATGGATTTAATTATCATCTCAATGCTGATGCTTCTCAGATCTACCCATCCTAGTCCAGTCTCTGCTGAGCTCCAGTCTTGCATCTCCAGTTGCCTTTCAGTCATCTCATACTGGATGTCCAGTAGACTTAACATGTTCAAAATAGAACTCATTATCTCTCCCCTGGACAATTCCCCCCCTCCTACCTTCCCTGTTACTATAGTGAGTAACACTACCCTCCCAGTTCCTCAGGCTCCAACCTAGGAGTCCATCTTGGTTTCCTCACATCACACACACACATCCCCCCCCACAACCAATCTGTTGCTAAGACCTGTGGATTTCACCTTTGTAATGTCTCTCCAATTTGCTCCCAGTCTGGTGCAGACCCTCTTCCACCTCATGCCTGGACTATTGCAATAGCTGCTGGAGGCGGGGAGGCGTGCCAGCCTTGAGTCTCTCCCCACTCCAATCCGTTCAGCCACTCTATATACCAAGACACAGGTTTGGCCCTGTCTACCCAGCCACCCTCTCAGTAAACTCCAGTGGCTCCCTGTTGCTTTCAGAAGCAAATTCAAAATGCTGTTTGGTGTCCAAAACCCTTCATAACCCAGCCCTCCTACCTTTCTGGTCTTCTTCCATGCCTGGCTGTTTCATGAACAAGACACGCCATCTCTTGGCCCTGGGCGTTTTCTCTGGCTGTCCCCCATGCCTGGAGTGTTCTTCCTCTTCTGCTCCAACTACTGACCTCCCTGGCTTCTGTTAAGTCCCAACTAAAATCCCACCTTCTACAGGAAGCCTTCCCCAACCCCCTCTTCAGCTCAGGGCTTTCCCTCTTTGAATTATTTCCTATTTATCCTGTATATAGCTTGCTTTGCTGTTTACTTGTCTCCTCCATTAGACTGTAAGCCTTTTGAGGAAAGTGACTTTTGCTTCTTTTTGTATCCCCTGTGCTTAGCATAGTGCACAGCACATGGTAGGCACTTAAGTGCTTTTTTTAAAATTGAAGTATAAACAGAAAGAACAATAAAATCATACTGAATGCTTTGTAATGATAATGAGGAAGCTGAATCTCAGATGTACTAGGCAAATACACCCTACATACTGCATAGACTGTCAGACATGGTGGCTATATTGGTTCTGTTGAACTATTTGATTTTCTTTCTTAATCTTTGTTACAAAGGAAGGCTCCTTGGATAGGAATAGGATATATTCATAAGTGAATGTGGTTAAAAAAAACAAAAAGCATAAATTAAAAATGATGGTTTGGGGTTGGGATAGCTTTGGTTTATATTCTTGAAATTACTCATTGCATTAATGTAAATGATTAACTAATTTCCTTAATTCTTCTGAACAGACTGGATTATGGACAGAACGGAAGAATATTGAGACAAATTTCTTAAAACCACTACACACAGGACTTAATATGTCAAGGGCACATTATGAAGCAGAAATTAAGAGCAAAAAAGAAAGCAGGCAAGGTTTGTCGCTTATATTTCCACTACCTGTTTAGGACCTCAGATTCAAACAAACTTTTATATTCAAACAAAGATAAGAACTTAAGTGCAGGACATATTTAATTCAGGCCAACAGGGAGCCAAATCTTTCATTCTTTCTAGTTTTTTTTAAGCTATGACTAAACTACTTCTTGTTTTTAACCCAATGGCTGTATAAGCTAATTCACACATACCCTTTCCTCATATCTGTTCTTGTTCAAGTTCAACAAAGACTTGGCACAACTCAAGATATGTGCTTATTTCTGGAGGACAGAAATTCTTTTTAGATAAGCAAATAGCATTACATTTACATTTGAGTAGCACCATACTTTGAATATTGCCTATTTCCATGTAAAATATAAAATTAAACCTTAAAAAAGTAAACTGCTAACTGGTTTCTATTATTTTAAGACTTTTAACAATATTATTTCTTCAGCATGGTCTCTATAATATCTGTAAAATGGCATTTATATTCACAATACTAGATATTTCTATACTTTTAAAGTACAGTCTCTTTACATGGACAAGATTTACAGTTCTGATCATCTAACAAGTCCCAAATTTAACTATCTTTTTCCACATTTTCCAAAAACTTAGAACAGTTATATACCAGCAAATTATCACATGCATAAATAAATATAATATCAGCTATATGGACTCTAATTTTGAATTTCATTAAAAATTTTGCTTAACTTCATTTGAGCAAATGGTTTCTTTCAAGTATTACATCAGTAGGCCATGGTAATTTGCTCATAATTTAAATACTGAAAAGAAGACATTTTCTAGTGAATAACAAAAGTGGCACATGAAACTATTGATGGAAACTATAGCTAGTGTAATGAGTTTAATTGAATCTGACAAATGATGGCCATTTTCTTCTGTTACAGAATCTCATAATCCTAAAAATCTTTGCTCAGTAACAGTCGGTGGAGAGAAGATTCCTGATGTGCCTAACATGACTCCTGAAATGCAACTTCAGGTGAATGCAGATTTTTCTTAAGCTTTTTAGGCTTCTGAAAGCTAACTCTTGACCTGCAATGTACATTCATTTGTAGTTTTGTTGTTATTGGGTTTTCTTAAAGGTCTTTATGTCAATAACATTAATTTTTCTTGACATTTTAGGTTCTCCATTCAGCTCTTTTCACATTTGATTTAATAGAAAGTGTTCTGGCCCGTGTAGAAGAACTCATTGAACTGAAAACAAAACCTACATCTGAAGCAACGGCTCGGCTGAAATGAAGCCTCCCTGCCTGAAGAGCTGCAGCAGCTACAGAAACATCGAAACCTGTTTTGTTCATTCTACGTGAAGCCCTTTTTACTTTAACGTCTTTTTTAAAGAAGTTAAAACTTTCAGTCACTAGGCACTTGCTGCTAGAAAATAAATGCTGCTATTCTCCTTTTCCTTCACAGCTGATTTATCTTATTAGAGAGCTGTGGTACTCTGTTAGTTTAAAACATATTTACCTTAACCTGACAGTAAATTATTCCTGCATTTTGGTAGTAAGTAGTAAGTTTGGAAATTTCAGCAAAAAAAAAAATGGATTTGTATGGCATTTTAAATTCTGAAGTCTGAGAGACCATTCACAGGGCGTTTTGTGCTGGAGAGCAACTTAGACATTGTAAAAGTCCTGCACAATTTCTCAGATAGAGAATAGAGTCTCCAACAGAGAGCAGCATTCCAAATGTACGTTAGACCCTGACAACAGGTATATTTTTATCCATTTGGTTTTTCCTATGTGGATTAGTAGGCCGATTTCCTTTATTTATGGGTCTCAGTGAAGGTGCCCTGGGATGTTCTGGGCCTGGATGCAGTTAACACAGTATCATCCAAAGATAAGCATCTGGAAGACCACTGATTGGGAAGAATCCCTCTTCCACTTGGATATCACACTTCATCATTCTAAATAGATCTGTTAAGTAACTAACCTTATACGTGAGTATGATAATTTTAATATACATAGGTCCTTCTTTTTATATGCATAAAATGTTTACCTTTCAGATTTATGGAGAGGGGAAGGATGTATGACCAAACAAGAGACAGAGAACATTATGAAATGCAAAATGGATAATTTTAATTCCATTAAGTTGAAAAGTTGTTGCACAAACAGTCAATGCATCCAAGATTAGGAAGGAAGCAAAAAACTGGGAGAGAATTTTTACAACCAGTGTCTCTGATAAAGGCCTCATTTCTAAAATATACAGAGAACTGAGTCAAATTTATAAGAAAACAAGTCATTCCCCAATTGATAAATGGTCAAAGGGTAGGAACAGGCAGTTTTCAGAGGGAGAAATCAGAGCTATCTAAAGTCATATGAAAAAAATGCTGTAAATCGCCCTTGATTAGAGAAATGCGAATCAGAATGACTGAGGCACCACATCACACCTGTCAGATTGACTAGCATGACAAGACGAGACAACGTAAATGTTGGAGAGGAGGCGGGGAAATCAGAACACTGATGAGTTGTTGGTGCGGTTGTGAACTGATCCAACCGTCCTGGAGAGCAATTTGGAGCTTTGCCCAAAGGGCCATAAAATCTTGCATACTCTTTGACCCAGCAATAGCCCTTCTAGGGCTGTATCCCAAAGAGATCCTAAGAGCGGGAAAAGGACCCACATGTATAAAAATATAGCAGCTCTTTTTGTGGTGGCAAAGAATTGGAAACTGAGGGGATGCCCATCAATGGGGGAATGGCTGAGCAAGTTGTGGTACATGAATGGAATGGAATACTACTGTCCCATAAGAAATGATGAGCAGGCAGACTTCAGAAGAACCTGGGAAGACTTGTACGGTCTGATGCTGAGTGAAGTGAGCAGAACCGAGAGGACGTTGTACACGGTAACGGTCCTTATTTTTATATGCACAAAATGGGATGAACTTTACTCTGAAGAAAGTAGCCAAGTTTTAACGGTAACACTACATATTAATGGAATCACAGTCCAGTTGTATCTTGCGAAGTGTTTTCCAAACAGGACTTTGCTCTATGATCTGGGCTTTAGCAATATTCATTCTGTAATGAATGTTGTCAATATATGGTTTGCAAGTGCTCTGGAAAAAGAAAAAAGCCCCGTTATTATTTACCCAAGCACAGACACATCATTAACACAAAATAAATGACTGCTGTCATGTCACATGCAGACATCCCAACCGTGCAGCGGGGGAACACTGCTTAACTGACGAACCCAGTCAGGAACAAGTACAGGCAGGTGTCCATCGTCCTGGAAATGCAACCTGCCTGAAAGAGAGGACCCAAGTTCAGAACAGGACGGCCGCCCGAGGCCACCTCCAAGGTCTCTTCCAGCTCTCAGTTCCGCAGTTAGGCAGAGGAAGCCTGGTGCGCGTGAGCACGCCTGCAGGCGAACAGTCCTTTTCTTCGTCACTGCCGCGTTTACGTTTGGTTTCTGGGCTGAGGCCCGGGCTCCCCCTGCCTGTCTTGCTTCCATGTCTTGGTTACCCATCATTCCTAAAGCCCCTTTAGCTTCAGGTAATTCATAACAGCCCAGGACAGCTTACTAAGTGCTCCACTTACATCCACCCTTTAATGAAATAAGCAATGCCTTCAGTACTCAGAAATCATGGAGGCCACATCTGCCAGGAATTCCACTGATGGATTCCATTCTTTAGGGCCCTAAATAGACTGATTTGGACCATAACGTAATGGAAGGTAAAGGGGCACTTTCCTTAGATGCAGGATCCCAGAAATACTCATCTGTTTCTTTACCTTGGGCGGGGGTGGGGGGGGTGGTACTTACCTTAGCTATTGTGGTCATAAGTTTAACAGTGTCTAATGGGTTGTGGACTGGAATGATGCGTAAATTATCACCCAGGAATCTGTGAAACAGATTACAAACGTTACAGAGGCTATAAGCTTACGGCTAGCTAGTTAGTATTCTTGAAATGGTGAGGGATGAGGAAGAGGGACACAGTGACTGTTGGTCATTGAGCCTTTCCAGAAGGCGAGAAAAGGCAGAGTGGGTTTCAAGGTGTCTAGCAGTTTATTTATTAGCTTAGTCCCATGAGATGTGTATAGAAAAGAGACGCAGGAAAATGCTTTTTGTACTTTCCAAACTACACTGCACACTCTGTAGATATGATTTAGCTGAAAATATTTGGTGTGACAGAAAGGGCTGATTTTTCCTTTGGCTCCAGGATGGCAGCGGGGGGCTGTCACGCTGACTCCAGAGCAGCATTCTGCATGAGTCCCATCAAAAAGACAGGGCAACATGATGAGCTTTATCCTCCGGCACATTTTCTTCGGATAAGCAAACCTAAATTCACCTGCCTCATTAAAAGCTCTAGGGCTAGCAGAAACCTTCAGCCAACTGCAGAGAGCAAGGCGGTGAGCCTCACCTCTGCTGAATCCTGGACATCAGCCTCCACTCACGTGGGCCGTGGAGGGTGGCGGAGAGGGCCAAAAAGCTGTGCCGGTGGATCCTCATGAACTTCTCAATCTGGGCCAAAAGGGCTTCTTCAGTTGTCCTAAAACAGTCCTGGGCATCTAGCAGTAAAAACGCAACCCCTAAGAAAGGTAAGCATACTGTAAATACAGTTTACAACCAAATATTTACAGCCAAAATACAGGGCCCCTAGAAGATGCCCTGGCCTCAAGTGAGCAAGGTTATGAAGCAATAGTCACCCTAACAAAATTCTGGTAGAACAGAACAATCTAGACAGCCCTAGGAAGCTCTTTTTTCTGGAACATTTGTCTTGGCCAAATCAGCTTGTCTCAAGCCATGACGGCCCCCCGCCCCTTTTTTTTATGACTGCCCCTTTTTAAAGCTGATCCTGGGTGTACGTATCATGGTGCCTCCTAAGCCATTTCGATATCTAGTTATTAAGCTTCTGAAAAAGAAATGTCTTTGGATGTCTCCTTTTGGGGAATAACATAAAATTAGGTTGCTAGTAAAGACTCATGGCTCTGTAACTATTTTACGTTGTAATGCAAAGCAAGAAATTGTCTCCATTTTTTTTAACCTAGCTAACTTTGCTTATTATTCTAGAAAATCTACAGACAGCAAGGGTTTGGTTTTAAAATCTGAATACATTTATAATTTTTGTGTATGGGGTATGATTTCTCTACTACAGGTTCACACCTATTGTGCTACATACATGATCACTTTAATTTCTGCCAACACATTCTATGTCAACAAGAACCAGCTTGTTAGCAAATATACTGTACCAGAAAGAGAAAAAATAATGGAGCCGGGTTCTATTGAATTTGAAAAACGAACTCTGTGGTTCTCATTTTTTAAGATGGCTGCGACTTCATGACTCTACAAAAATGAAAAAGAAACCAGAAATATGCATGTGTTCATTCCTCATTGTTTTTTAAAAAAACAAATTTTCATACTTATTAACATCAACCCAAATGAATTACAATAAAACCATAATCTAAACTATTTACGTTTTAATTTTTAAAATTAAACAAAGAACAACAACATCTTATCTGCCCTATTCTCCACTGATTTCTATCTGCCATGTTCTCCACTGATTTCTATGCACTTAGAAGTTTTTTTATATTAGTAGTAGTCAGGTTATATCTTGATTCTGCTTGTTTTGCAACACAATATATCTTTTAAATTTTCTTTGCATTTTTCATGCTTGTCATTTCATTTTTTTTAATGGGGGCAGGGAAAGGAGGGAAGGTCCAGACCAGTGATTTCACTGTTATGGAAAGCTTCCAATATGGAAATTCCCTCTAACAATGCAGATTTAAGTTAAGTCTCATTAAGTAAAATCAACTCATCTTACAATCTTAGAAAGTTGGCTGGGGCCCTGAGAGGTTACGTGATTTGTCCTTGATCACACAGCTTGCTGGTGTCAGAGGAAAGCCTTGAAAGTCACCCTGATTACAGTCAGCCTCTCACCATTTTACATATGGCACAATGAAATTCCATTATATTAATGTATCCCAATTTATTTTGCCCCTTCCCAATAAAAGGTTGTGAAAACTGCTTCCAATGATTTTTACAGTTACAAATAAAACTAAAATGAATATTTTTGTACCGATTGGATTTTTACTCTTAATAACAACTCTAGAATATAATCCCTGTCCAAAAAAGCTACAGTGATTCAGTTATAACAATATCTTAACATGTTTTTCTCTATATCCCTACTAACATCAAATATTATTTTAAAGTCTTAGCTACTTTGATGAATTTTAAATGGTATCATAAGATTATTAAACTTGCACAATTCTGCTTATTCATATTGGTTTGACCAATGTGAATGAACAATTTTTGTTTTCTCTGAGAATGTCTTGTTCGTGTTCTTTAGTCATTTCTCTGTTATGAAAAAAATTTTGTTAATTAGTATCAGTTCCTTATAAATTCTGCCTGCTGATTTTTATTGGAAATACAAATAATTTTCCCTAAATTTTTAATTTTCTTTTTCTTTTGAACAGAATTTTTTTTAAAACTAGGAAAAACCCTGTTACTAACAAATCCATCTATTTTTAATCCATTACTTCCATTTTTTCCAATTAATACAAATTTTTCTCCTCTTCACAAGGGCAACAAATATGCCATTCCTTTTTTTCTTCTAGTTTTTATAGGTAAACAAATATATTGATATTACACAAAAATATATTTAGCCAATTATTAAACTAACTACAGCTTAACCATCAGTTGCTGAGGATAAAGAGGAAGAGCAATTGTCCAAAGACCTCTATAAGACCCTCCAGATTAAACCAATATACACACTGACATTTGGTGATTTCATTGTAAAAGTGGGAAAATGTAAGGATGGGGAGAAATAAATGGGAAATCATGGTACAGGAAGAACAAACAAGATGCCAAAAACCTACAGAGTATACAGAAGCTTCATGCTGTTATAGCATGAACACTTTCTTAGAGAAGAGAATTTGTCACATGTTGACGACTAAATACCGTTACAAAATTTACAAAAGTTATATTGAGAAAGAGTTAGTTCTTATTGATATGGGTTGTACTGAAATCAGCTCTCTGTACAGTCAGAGCTATCTATGATTAGAATCAATAAAAAGCAAGAATAGTCATGAGAAAAAGATGCAGCATACAATTGAAACAACGCAACCCTTAAGCACTGAAACTACTCACTGAGTAGTTTCATCAGAAATGGGGAATGGTCAACAAAAATGCCAACACTTGTTATAAAGCTGTCAGACAGAAGTTTAACCAGTGTGAATAACCTGCCACAAACGAGGAGACCAAAAGAGCTTGGAAAAAGCCTCAGGCATCAAAGATCTGGCCTTCTTGCCAAATGGCCACCAGAGGCAACAACAGGTCAGTAAACAAACTTGCTCATGCGATCTTATGATACAGAAGCAGTATTGCCCCATAAAGCAGAAAGAAGCAGTGGAGCATAAAACCAGTTTAAGGAAAGTTTGAAAAGACACCCAATTAAGCAAAGTCATCCAAGGGCATTTAAAGACAAAAATAAGAGGACAACAAACAGAAGAAAAGTGGGGGAGAAAGGGGGCTGTAAAAATCATTATGACAAATTATTTTCATCATCAAGGATAATGGGACCACTACGCTTAAGACTCTAATATCACAGTCCCGATGTACTTATGGATGAGGTAGAAATAGCATTGAAAGGATCAAAGACAGGAGAAGCACAAGAAATGATATCTCTACTGGAGACCCCACAGCTATGAGAGTACTGAAGTTCTGATATCCAAGATATCACAAGAAGAGAGAGATACCAAAGTCATGGGAAAATGACTGAACCTTATTAATACCTGCCCACCACCCCTTCCCCCCCAAAAGAAATTGAGAAACATCAGTAACTATTAACTTCTATGCCTACTTTCCCTCCTATGCAAAATCTTCCTTTTTTTCATCTATACACAAATCAAAGGGGTCCTTGACAAAGGTATTGAGAGAGATCAAACAGGCTTTCATAAGAATATTCAACAATGGATCACATCTTTACCAGTTCACAATCTAAAGTCACAGTATTTGAAATTATAATTATGTAAAATATGGTCAACTAGGTCCAGTCCAATGGAAATTTGTTGTGTGAATTCCAATAATGCTACCACTTCATGGGATTCATGATTCATAATAATCCATTCATACTGGGGACAGTTAAAACAGCACATGTCCTACTATGGGCCAGGAATTGTTCTAAGTGTCAGGGATACAAAGAAAGGCAAGAGACAGTCCTCCTTGAGGACTTCACAGCCTAATGGAGGAGAAAATAAACAACTATATGAAAAAAAACCAAAACTACATACAAGATAAACAGGAAACAGTCAACAGAAGGAAGGCACTAGAATTAAGAGGGACTGAGAAAGGCTTCCTATAGAAGGTAGGATTTTAGGTGGGACCTAATGGAAGCTAAGAGGTGGAGAAGAGGAGGAAAAGCATTCTGGGCATGGGGGCTAGCCAGAGAAAATGCCTAGAGCTGAGAGATAAAGCATCTTGTTTGAGGAACAGCCAGGAAACCAATGTCACTAGATAGAAGAGGACATAGTGGGAAGTAAGATGGAAGAAGAATGAAAAAAGGAGTGGGGGGGGAAACAAAGAAGGACTTTGAATTCCAAGCAGAGGATTTATATTTAATCCTGGAGGTGAAAGGGAGTCAGTCACTAGAGTTGACTACACAGCGCAGCTCATTGCAAACAGCAGCTGTTTGACTCAGAGCTTGGCCTTACCAGCAAATGTGAAGTCAGGAAGTAGGCTGATAGAATGAGCAAACAAAAAAGAATTCCACCAAAAAAGCTTTTAGGGTGACAGAGACATTCGGGATACAAACCCAGAACAGACTGACTCTAAAACATCTACGAGCAGCGCCTCAGAAGAAAACACAGCTTGCGCACAAACTCAACTAAAATTCATGGAAGACATGAAACAAGAGGTTTTTTTAAAGTTAAACTACATTTCCATAAATTAAATTTTTTTGGGGGGGAGTGAGGCAATTGGGGTTAAGGGACTTGGCCAGAGTCACATAGCTAGTGAGGGTTGTGTGTCTGAGGCCGGATTTGAACTCAGGTCCTCCTGACTCCAGGGCCAGTGCTCTATCCACTGCACCACCTATCTGCCCCCCCATAAATTAAATTTTAAAAAGAAGGAAAACAGAAAACAAATTAAAGTTACAGAAGACTTGAAAAGAGAATAAACAATTTTGGCACAAGTTATAAAACCTTACCCCACGCCCCTCAAAAAACCAAACAACTGTCTCTGAAAATTTGAATGGACCAAACAGAAACTAATGACTCCATGAAACAACAAGAAATATTATCACAGTTAAAAGACTGAAAAGTTTTAAGAAACTGGAGGAAGGGGTGGGAGGGAGTGGGTAACACTTGAACCTTACTCTCATCTGAAATGGTCAAAGGCAGGAAGAGTACAGATACACAACTGGCTATAGAAATACATTTCACTCAACAGGAGTGAAAAGGGAGAAGGGGAATTAAAAAGATGGTAGATTAAAGAAGGGATTGGTCCTAATCAAAACAAAACAAACTCTAAAAAAGGATGTATACAAATATTTATAGCTATTTTCACAATGGCAAAGAACCGGAAACTGGAGGGGAACCCATCGATTAGGGAATGGCTGAACAAATTATGGCATATAAGTGTGAAGTAATATTATCATGCTTTAAAAATGATGAAGGGAATGGTTTCAGAGAAACACAGGAAGATTTATGACAATTTATGCAATGACAGCAATACTATAAAGACAAACAATGTTAAAAGTCTTAGGGACTTTGATCAGTATAATGACTACATGATTCCAAAGGACTGACAAAATATGCTATCCACCTGATAGAGAAGGAAAAGGGTCAGGGTGAAGAATTTTATATCATACACACACACACATCAGTATACTTTATATTTATACACACACGCACACACATACTCTATACACGTAGACAGATGTGTCTGAAACAACTGAACAATAACATCATATATTTTACATGGCCAGTAAGTAAATTTGTTTCAATTTACTTTACATGTTTATAACAAGGATTTTATTTTTTTTTCTTTTTCAAAGGAGAAGGTGGAATGGGAAGGAAAGAAGGTGTATTTTTGCTGACTGAAAAAAAATTAATTTTTTAAAATAAAAATGAAGAGATTTAACAAGAGAAATAACTTGATTCACAAATGCCAGGCAAGACATAAAACAAGGGTGTGTATTCATCCAAAATGTTCACCACTGTGATGCAGGAGATCCAGAAAGATCGGATGAGTTGAAGAAGGATGTAAGCACTCCAAGAACAGTGGCCTGACCACACCAATACAGGAAAGGCCAATGAGATGAAGAGCTTTCAGACAGATGCCCTATAGCGCTTGTCCATCAGTGTGTATGTCTGGGACAGACAGTACAGATGGATAACAAGCTGGGTCTGGAGTTGAACCAGAGGTGAGAGGGAGCCATTGGAGTTGACTGAATGGGGTGGTGGTGGGGTGAC